CACAACAAGTGAATGTATCCGTCCATAGGCCTGGGTACGGTACCTTTGACTCTACAGTTGTCTTTGACTGTTGAATTTCCCTTGTGCTGCGTTTGGTCACACAGCCTCCTCGACAGACTCAGGCTGGGCATGTCTCGGTCACATAGCCCAGCACAGACAACTGAGTCTGTGTCTTACCGGGGGCAAAGTTCTGAGCCCCGGTCTGCTGTTGAACAGGGTTACTGCACTTACAGTGTAATCAGTCAGGGGATTCTGCAGATTGCTGAGGGTTCAGACTCCTGATGAGTCGGTGAAACTCCGATGAAACAGTTTGTCACAGCCCCTCGTTTGTTGTCCTCTTCTCCCTTTCTGCCTGTGGTTTACCGGGCAGCTCTGTTTGACTATATATTGTCACATAACTATGAACTAAAAGAGCGCACTTTGCGAAACAAACGGCAAAAAAAAAAATTAAAAAAAAAATTAAAATAAGACAAACATGAAGGGCACAGTGAAACCATTCTTTTTTCTCATTCTTCTTTTGACTCCCCTTTCACCGTGCCTCTCACGTACAAGGCTCACTACGTTGATGAAGTTGAGCGCGAGCTGCCCCCATCCCTGTGTGCCATAATAGCCCAATTGTACGCTATGAGAAAAGAGGCAGAGTGAAGGGGAAGGGGATAAACACAGCGAGGAGAGATGGAGAGCAGACAAACAAGGAACGATAAAGGGAAAGTAAGGGAAAGTATGGAGTGTGGAGTGAAGGTGAAGGCAAAAGAGGATAAGAAAAGGCTCAAGAATGAGTCTGTCCTTGACGACAGAGAGGACATACATTGTAAGGACGAGGTGGATGAACACATGGAAGACCTAGCTGAGCATTCTCAGTGCAACAATATATGCATATATACTAGGCTGGGCCGCCGCCCGACCGGGCAGGCCCCGGCCGGTTGGGGCCGGGGGGGTCCGCCCGACGACCGGGCGATGCAAAAACACAGCAAGGATTTTTTTTATTTTTTTTTGAAGGCGGGGTTGTGCTGCGCTACCCTAGAGGACCCCGAATCTGCAATAAAAAAGTTAAGTTGGGGGGCTCTCTCTCTTTCTCTCTCTCTCTCTCTCAAGAGAGAGAGAGAGAGAGAGAGAGAGAGAGAGAGAGAGAGAGAGAGAGAGAGAGAGAGAGAGTTTTCCATCGGTAGGTGAGCAACGCACCGGCCAACAGGTAAGTCTCTAACCCTGCGGCTGGCCTCATGCTAATTGAATGAATCTTCAGCTCGGACATCAAAATATACACTACTACACGTGTGTGTGCGTGTGTGTGTGTGTGTGTGTGTGTGTGTGTGTGTGTGTGTGTGTGTGTGTCTGTGTGTGAGAGAGGGAGAGCACTTCCATCGATAGGATGAGCAAAATGGAACGAATATACTGCTAGAACATCGAAATATACACTACTACGGGCGTGTGTGTGTGTGTGTGCGCGCGCGCGAGAGAGAGAGAGAGAGAGAGAGAGAGAGAGAGAGAGAGAGAGAGAGAGAGATTTTTCCATCGATAGTTTGAGCAACGAACCGGCCAACAGGTAAGTCTCTAACCCCACGGCTGGCCTCACGCTACTTCCATCGATAGGATGAGCAAAATTGAATGAATCTTCCGCTAGAACATCGAAATATACACTACTACACGTGT